AATTTTTATGAATGAAATTGATACATTGAAAAATGAAAAACTAAGTGCTTAAAAATATTCACTAAGTTCTGCTTATTGACTACATATCGATCAGCGGTTATGAATTTTAAATGCTGCGCCTCATATTTTGAATGACGATAAAACTTTATTTGAACTCTTTTCTTAAAACATGGAAACTCGAAATCACGAAACTATATCTTGAGTTACTAGTTCCCAAATATCACGTTTTCCCGAAATCTCGAGATCACACATTAAACTTTAAATTAAATTAAAAAATAAATTATTAAAATATTATAGAAAGTAAGTTACTTTTATCAATTATATATTTTAACTCACCATTTAAAATTATTAAAAAAAATATATATATATATATACATGTTTTTTTTAAATTTGTTCAGCCAACCTGTAATTTAACCTGTTTTTTTTTTATTATTATATCTCTAATCGAGTAATGATTTGCGTCGTCAGAAAATGGTGGTAAATAACCAAATTCTTTTTTTACAACCTTCATTATACAATTTATTCATCAATTTATTCATAAAATTCAGAATTGTCTAATCAAAACATTTTATTTTTACATAAAAAATTAACGTTTTTGGTCCATTTTTTTTTTCAAAAAAAATTTTTTCCTAATAAAAAATATATTTTTTAGAAGGTACGCAATCAAAGAAGAAATTCGGATTTGCAAACTAAAGGTTGGAGAAATAAAGATATTGTTTATTCACATTAACTAATAAAGTTGCTGCCCTATAGAATCTCATCCCATCCCAAATACCATTACTATATTTAAAATCCCATATCCCATATCATATAATTTACATTAAAATTTTAAGTATATCTATGAACGATATCACACTTACAAAAATAATATAATAACCATTTGAATCAACTTATAAAGGCGAAGCTAATGAGCTAAAGATCATTAAATTTTAATCATTAGTTGTTACAATATTATTTTTTAAAGTTTTGGTTTAAGGAATGGGATTTTGGATGGGATGGGATTGGGACTTTATCCCATACCCATATAGTATGGTATAAACTTTCTAAATGAAGAAAGGAATAAATTCTTTGATTCAAGGATGTTGAAGGAAAATAAAATGTTTTATTGATGTCCAATGAAGGATTGAGACGAAACAAGCGACAGGTGTAAGGCCTAAAAAAACCTGAAAAAGTTATTCTAAATATATAATCTTTTCTTTTAAATTAGAAAAGGCCAAAATAAATAACTACAATCGCATACATTATAGGGGAGAGAGATTACTTGCATTAGCATTTATCGGATGGTATAATCCATGAAAACAGAAATCTATGTACTATAATATAAAAGGTAAGGATTTATCCCAAATTAGGGGATCGTTCAAAGCAAAATTGAAAATCAGGGGTATATGTGCATCAGTCTGCTTTATACATCCCCTAATTAGGAAAGATTTGATTTCATGGCGTTCATGTAAATACAAACATTTATACATTTTATTTTCATGAATGAAAATTCTTTTTCTTATTTTTTTTTAATATGAAAAGGACTAAATATGAAAAGTGTGATGAATGTGAACGTAGAAAAAAAGTTTTAAATAATCAGTTTTGTCATACATGCCAAAAAGCAAAGACAATATTTAAAAAAAGTGGAAATAAAGTTATTGATAAATTTATAAAGCACACACTAACTAATGATAATAAAACAACCGGAAGAATGGAATATGTTCCTTTTAATGAAATCAAGGATTTCGAATTAATTGGCGAGGGAGGATTTAGTAAAGTTTATAAAGCAACTTGGATTGACGGTCCAATAAATTATTGGGAAAGTAAAAAATTACAATATAAACGTAATGGTCAAATGACAGTTACTCTCAAGAAGCTTAACAATTCCAAAATCATCCATGAAAAGGAATTATTAAATGAGGTATAGTTTCTTATGCTAATATCTTATTATAAATACAAATTAAATAACTTTAAAAATTTTATATTAGCTCAAGGTGTATTATGAATTTTCCTTAGGTTGGAAATATAAAAATATGAAACCTAGTTACTCAAATTCTGATCAATATAATTATGTTAACAAATATTTTGGACTCACTCAAGACCCCGATACAAAGGATTTTATGATTATTACGAAATATTATGAATCAGGAGATCTAACACAATATCTAGCGAAGCATTTCTTCGAACTTGAATGGTCAGAAAAGCTGAACCGATTATATTACATTATATATGGGCTTAGAAATATTCATGGTGTAGATATTATTCACCAGGATTTTCATAGTGGGAATATATTTATTTCAGGTGATATTGCAATAATAGGCGATTTAGGGATAAGTAAACCAGCGGTTGAATCATCAGATGAGGATGAAATATATGGGATTATTCCCTATGTTGCCCCGGAAATTATTCAAGGCCATAAATATACTAAAGCTTCAGATATATATAGTTTTGGCATGATTATGTGGGAACTCATGACAGGTAGAAGGCCTTTTTGGAATCGAGGTCACGATGTAGATCTTATGATTGATATTTGTGATGGTCTTCGTCCTCCAATCGTCACAAATGCACCAGAAGGTTACATTGATTTGATACAAGAATGTTGGAATCCTATTCCAGAGAATAGACCAAAGGCCGATGAGATAAGTTCGAGAATTGAGAATATTAATGATTTAGAAAGGAATAGAAGAACCGAAATTATAGACTCCCCAGATATTGGACCTATAACTACAAACAATCCTTGCGCTATTTATAAAAGTAGATCTTTAAGTTCAATGATAAGATCTGCCGAGTCTACAAGATGTTTGAGAAGTCAGACTCTAAAAATTGGTAAATAGTTTATTCTTATATCAATTTTCAAAAGAATGGTCGATCACATATATGTAGAAAAATATTCGCATCACGTTATTATAAAATCTATTTTTTAAAATATGGGTTCTTTGGGTGAAGTTAGAAATTTAGGAATTCAGATTTTGTTATACCTGAGATTATTATTTGAAAAAGGTATCTTAACTTTAATAGCAAATTCAAGATCTTAATAAACGTAATTCCGATTTACAAAAGTGTTCGACCATATTAATATTTCTTTTCGTTAAAATTAACAAAATTTTCTTAAATTAATCCAAGGTGAATTTAAATTCGATGGGGATTATGGTAAAAATCTGAATTCTTTTACAAATTATAAAAAAGAACTCAAACAGGACAAATCTGAATATAATAGTAAGTGAATAAGTAATGTTTAAATATCGACAAATAACTTTCTAATTTGATCGAATTTATATTACATAGATTATAAAACCAAAGAATTAGATTTTGATATCTAGTGGCGATATTTAAATATAGAAATTGTTTTTTAAAAAAAAAAAAATAAAAACAAATGATTTAGACAATTAGCTATTTCTAATTTCATCATAATTTAGCAAGAATTTTAAAACGAATTTACCTGAATCCGAATTAACCAGAAAATATTGTCAAACAGCATCTTGTAACAAATTTTGACTTGTCCTGTGTTTAAATGTATCAAATTTTGTTTCACGACAGTCATTTGGAATAGTGAAGTCGGTTCTATTCTTTTTTTAGTCATTCAGTCATTGACTCCAACTCCAACAGCAAGGTATTATATTAAACTACTGTAGCTCAATATATGTTCTAATTGTTTAACTATATACATTCGTAAGCAAAAGATTATTATAATTATAATTCATAGAAATTTAAAGCAATTCGTTGTGTACAATGAAGAACATCATTACTGTACAATTGTCTTTTCCATCGCTCTTTCTTTATAATTCTTACATATCTTGCCCAACTAAATAAAGTTTCTAAACGGCGATGCCAAGCTTTAATATTATTCTGTGAGTGGAATTTCGTATCATCATATATAACTGTGGTGAAAGACAAGCCGAAACCTTTGAAAATTTTGTAGATCAAATCGGGAAAAACTTGTTCATATGAAACATTAAAACATCAGCCAGTTTAAAGTATCACGTATAATTACAACCGCTACTATTATTGCTTATGATTTTAATAAGAACATGCAAAGTGTAAACTTTCAGCATATTCACATTGAAGTTGATTATTTCTTGAAGATATGATTTCTATACCGTACAGAAATCAGATCTAGAAACCGGTAGAAAATGAAAAGGTTTCTAGAATAGAGTTCTTCGATGGCAAAGTAATAAACCAACCATACTTTGACGCGAAATAGATTTTTTTGAATTATGACAATGTTGTAATTTGACTTATTAATTATAATTATGACTGACGTAATTATTTTTGACCATGACGTAATATTTCGCCATTGGCTTTTTAATTTTCGCAAAGTATAAAACAATCAAGCTGTTGACATTTAAATTTAAGATGTTATCAATTTCTAACATTCGCTTCTTTAAAAAAAAAAAAATGTTGCCGAAATGCTGAATATGTAGATAATTACTTTACAAGGCAGTTTGTTGAAGTCTTTGTTTCGTAAGAAAAGTTTCTAACGATAAACATTACATAATCCATCGATCATTTGTTAAAAAGCGAGCAATATACTTTACCATCACGAATAACGGATTCGACTAAATTATGATAAACAGAAAAAAAGATGTATTTCAATAAAAATGTATTTTATGCATCATTAATGTTTTAAATATATAAACATAATTTCTCCCATCATTTGATGATGATGAACTATATCTTGGCACGATCTGAATTGAAAGAACAGAACGACTTTTCGTTGTTTTGGGAACATGTTTAAGTTCGGTCACATATGTAACAGTTATGACTACAGTTTTCCGGACAATTGAAATATCTGCACGCTAGAAACCGCAGACTTCTGCGGCTTCATATACCATTATAAAGAGCTTCAATGTATTATTATTTATAACGACTAAAAGAATTTTCGTGTCATGGATTATTTGTGACATAATATTGAGATATCAATGTAGACTTGCTATCGGCTTTAATATAAACGTTTGTAAAGTACCGTAAATTTACTTGTTATAATGGAATCCTACATCTTTTATTATAATTATTCGTCATGAAAGCCCGAGAGTACAAAATAACAATGATAAAAAATCGTTTTAATGTATATAAGCTCACTATCAGGCAGAGTCAATAACGACTTTAGTACATATACTTTCTTTTATTTTTATTCACTAAAACGTGCAAAAAGGATTGAAATTTTGCTTGGTTTAAGGACTAGTGATCCTTAATAAGTTACCGTACCTTTGTACAAAATATTAAGCTAATCAAATTATGAATATATTGGTAATATTCCCGTTTACCTGTGATACTACATTACCGGAGTTGAATTTCCGGGAAAAACGATATTTGTTGTATTGATCCGTTTTGAATTTTGAAATATTTGATTGTCGTAACCTGTTATATCTTGGCGTTCGTTGGCCATCATAAATTTTATTAATAAGTTCGTAAGTTTCTTTTTTTTTTTTACATAAATTGCCTATAGCTTATTATTACCCTGTAACAATATAAGGTATACCTCCATGATTTTATTATAATTCTGTCAAGGATTTACTCAAATATTGCTGCTGTTATTAAGTATTTATATTTCAAATCTTTAGGAATGATAAGTACTAAGGAGTAAGGTAAATTTGGTAAGCTAGTTATTTCAGTATCTTTACAGATGAGTACTTTTAATTTTCGATGTCTTTGCAATCCACCAAAGTGTATCTGTAATAGTTAAATTATTGATTGTTTCATCATAAATGATTATTTCAAGATTTCTGATCATTTCTTCCATTTCCTTAATAATTGCTTGGTTGGATTTTGTTACTTCCTCTCGTTCTCTAACCTTTTCTTATAAACATTTGAATTGCGAACGTAATCTTTCATTACTTTCCACTTATTCCTTAATTTTCGTTTCCAAGTATTGTTTATTAAAGCCATTTTTTTTTTTTAAAAAAAAAAAAAAAAATTTAACTTGTTCGGATGGTTATTCCAATGAGTCTTGTAGAACTCTAAATTTCTTTTTCTTGCATAATGCTGAAAAGCTTGTATCACTTTGAAGATTGCATTATTAGTTTAATAGTTAGATGAATTTTGCTTAACGAAAAAAAAGAATTTTTGTAATTTAATATTCTCCTAATAGAGAATAAAAATTTCCTTACTACGTTTAGCTTAGAAACGAAACAAGGAATCATTTTCAACAATTACATGACGAATATTTTGCTCAACATTATTTTTGGTTAGACCTCGTAGATTAATTTGGCCAATTGTTTCTCTGACCGGCGTTGAGGCAACACTTGACTAATTGAATTTATTAAATAATATTTATATCATAAACACCTAATATTAAAACCTTCTGATTACCATTCTTTTGATTTATAAATATCAAGTTAAGCCGTTTGAGAAGACAGGGATCGTATAGTGTTACGATCATATTACATATTTACATTACAGCTTATCCTTCTCGAACAATTTGTCGTCAGGCACGTGAAAATTTTATTGTTGCTAAATTAGGATAAGAACGACGATTCAGTATATAACTTCACCACAAATTCCACTTTTTTCTCCTAAAAAAATCCCTTCATCTCGCTATTTAGAATATTAAAATATTTCGAGATTTATCTATTCTAACATGGTACACGCTCAAGATTTTATAGAAAATAAATTTCCTAAAGATGTTAAAGAAATCATAGCTTATAATGATGATCTAGAGGGACATTTAGATTTATCAAAATATCCTAATTTAACCAAAATAGAATTTGGATCCAATTCTCGATTAAGAAGTTTAAAACTTGCTCGCCCGAACAAAATTTCTTATATAAGCACCTTTCATTCCGGCGTCGATGATTTAACTTTTTTGGCAGACACTCCTAATTTACAGACAATATGTTTGTCTCGAACAGGAGAGAAAATTGGTGATGGTCCTGGTAATGCTTATATTGCCAAAGCGCTCCGAGAAGCTTGCAAAGAGAATTACAGATTGCTAAGTCAATCTGATCAGCAAATAGAGCAAGAGAGGGAAAATAATAAGGAGTTAAAGCAAAAGTTTGCTAATGCCCAACAGGAAAATCAAGCATTAAAAAACCAAAGTCAGCAGAAACAGCAAACTATTAAAGATCAACAAAGTCAGATGAACGAATTGTCCAATATAGCCTTTCCTAATAATCCGTACGATTTCACTAAACTCAAACAAGACATTATCCGACTTAAATTCCAAGAATTAGCACCGCAAGTAAGAAATGAAAGCGCGAAGTTGGCTCAGTTAATTTCTGAAGCAAAAAACAAAGCGGGCAATTTTTCTTCCGTAGTTGACTTAATCTTAGAAACCCAAAGGCAAATCGTAAAAAACAACGAAACTTCTCAGCAAGATAAATTAAGTGGTAAAATGGAAGCTTATCAAACAATTCTTGCAAGCAGTTTAGAAGGAAAGCTACAAACACTTTTAAACAAAAAAACAGAAGTCTTAGAATTAGAAAAACACTTGGGAAGTTTACAACAGAATCTTTCCTACAAATGACTTCGAACGAAAAAACCTTCATTTTTTCCGCACTTTTATATTTCTTAGATATATCTCGAAATAAATATGGAAATTGTACATTCTAACTCCTTAAATTCCACTGAATTTTAAATATTGTATATAGTGGATTACTTTATGCTATTTAAAAGAATTAGGTAGTTCTTCAGTGGTGGATTTGTTATGGTGGATTTTATAAAATCGTATATATTTAAGTTTCAGAACTGAACAACTTTTAATCAAGCGTGCGTAAAATAAAGTTGTATAATCAAGTTATCTAAATTAACCCTAATAATTATCATAATAAGCTACTAAGTTTTGATATTTTAAAAAGATAGATATTTATTTATTCTAATCGAAAAGAATCATTTTTAAAACCATAATGTGGCTAAGGTGGTACAGTACACATCAATGACGATTACCAGAAGTATAACATTATACCACTTTGTTACATTTCAAGAATTTCATCGATTAAATAATTGTTTTCAAATATAAAGTTTAGTTGATTTTAAATCATTGTAAAGTTTAAATAAGTTTAATTACAGTAAAATTTATAATCTGTTCGTAATTTATTAAGTTTTTTTTCATGTATACCATTTGTGAACTTTATTAACATTCTTATTGAGTTTAATAAATTGGAATTGCGAAAGTGTAAAGCGCCGAAGTTGATTAATTAACATTTATTAAATAAATTACTTCAATCTTCTCTAACTAAAACCTTCTGCTTAAACAATACACTATCATCTCCTAATTATATATATACTTTTATTAAAATTCTCTTTTTATTTGACGATAAAAATTAAATAAATTAAATAAATTATAAATTCCAGTTACAGAAGGAGTTTTTAAGGATTCAGGATA